AGCGGCCGGCCTCGAAGAATTCTGGGACCCTCACAACCCGCCAGTGCGGAACTCCCCAACAGGAACCTGGGGAAACCCTTGCTGTCACTTCGCCTTTGGGGGGAGAGAGGTGGTTGCTCCCGCTGTCCTGAGCCCTCGGCAGAATAGGCACCCCACTAGCTCTGGCCCGAGCATTGTCCTTAAACTCCAGGTTGGAGTCGCGCAGCCACAAAGAGGACCTTTTAAATTCCAGGTTACGGTTGCCCAGGACCCGCTTGGCTTCTGCTGACTCGGTAGAAGGGTCGCGCTTTCCTCCTTCCTCCCTCTTCTCTTTCTGCCAAGTCCCGGGCTCTCTGGAGAGTCCTGGCAGAGAGGAGAAAGACAAGGTGGGGACCGAGGTGGAGCCGTGGGAAGGAGTTCTAGAAAGAGATCCAATCACCTGCTCTTCTATTATCTTGTTCAACGTTCTCTTAGGAAAATATTTTCATTTCCTTAGGCGCTTCTCCTCAAGCTTGGGCTGGATCAGTAGTATTCAAGTATTGGTCAAGGAACGTTTTTTAGGGTAGTCTTTAAAAGCAAGGGACTCGTTGGATTCTATTCTGACCACACCACCCACTCAGTATGTGATCTTGGCTGAATAACAACCTTTTTGTGTCATCATTAAAATAGGCAGCATAATAATTTTTTTTACCGGCTTGTTGTTAGAATTAACTGAGTTAGTGTCGTCAAAATGCTTAAACTGGTCCCTGGCATATAGGAAGTACTCTATAAATGTTAAACTATGTATTTACAGTTCAACGTTTAGCAGAAGTGGGTGGTCCAGGGCCTACCCGTCTGGCCTCCACTAGGAAATGAACACCTGAATTTCTTATGACTCCCAAGATCACCTTTTGAAAATCATTGTGTGGACCCCCTCTGGCTTACACATTCAGAAGTTATATGGCACAGAGCTTAAGAGCTTGGGTTTTGCTGTCTAAAAGAACTGACTTTAAACTCCGTGGTGTTACCCATTAAGTGATGTTGGGCAAGTTATTTAATCTTTCACCCCCAGTTTTCTCGTGTGTAAGATGAAAATTTTAATAAGATTTTAGTTAAGATCCTGAATGCATAGACATTGACCAGTAAGAGCGAGCACTGAGGTGGGCTGCTCTCCCACACTGCTTCCAACTGGTAGAGTATTAGTCCTGATTGTTAAGGAATAGTGGGATAATCCATGCAATTTGCTTTTCAGCATTCCTGGCACATAAAAACATCAAATGTTAGCTGGCAATGTCACTCTTTATAGTCTCATTTTTATTTTTATTTTTTTTTTATTTTTTTTTCAACGTTTATTTATTTTTGGGACAGAGAGAGACAGAGCATGAACGGGAGAGGGGCAGAGAGAGAGGGAGACTCAGAATCGGAAACAGGCTCCAGGCTCTGAGCCATCAGCCCAGAGCCTGACGCGGGGCTCGAACTCACGGACCGCGAGATCGTGACCTGGCTGAAGTCGGACGCTTAACCGACTGCGCCACCCAGGCGCCCCTATAGTCTCATTTTTAAAATGCACTTTTAGGGGCACCCGGGTGGCTCAGTCGGTTAAGGGTTTGACTTTGGCTCAGGTCATGATTTCACAATTCGTGTGTTCAAGCCCTGTGTTGGGCTCTGTACTGACAGCTCAGATCCTGGAGCCTGCTTCAGATTCTGTATCTCCCACTCTCCGCCCTTCCCCTGCTCACACTCTGTGTGTGTGTGTCTCTCTCTCAAAAATAAATAAACATTAAACAATGGAAAAAACAAAAGGATTCAGAGTCTGTATCAGGCCCCCTCCATCTGAAGAAACAGTTCAAGAAAGCATTCTAAACAAATAGCAAATAAAGATGGAAATAAATCAGAAAAATTATGGGAAAGGAAGCAGAGGAATTCATGATGTAAAATAAATATGAACCTAAAGTGACATATAATGCAATATGTTATCAACCCATGTGCTTAAGGTGAATGGACTGAATTTTCTTATATACAGGGAGAGACAGACTGGGTCAAGCAACAAAATCCAGGCATATGCTGTTTACAATAAACACCTGTGAGGTTGGTCGAAAAGCTACCAGGCAAACAAAAAGCAGAAATTTCAGTATTACAGAAAACTAATTGAAAGTTCAGAATCAAAGAGATGGATCTTATACATTGATAAAAGGCACAATTTACGAGGAAGCATAATAGTATCAAACCTGCTAAATACATAAGGCAAAAATTTATAAATTCTGAGGACTTGATAAATACAATTCTGTGGGAAAATTCAGCACATTTGTGTCAGAATTAGATCTAGGAGAGAAAAGATAAGATCCTACAGAAATTGAGTGGTATAATTAAAAATCTTGATTTAAGAGGCATATAGAAACTTCTATCCCTAGAATAAAGAACATATTTTTGTGTCCATAGAAAATTAACAAAAATGAATTATGAGCTTTGTCGTCCTCATCCATAGATGATGCATGTGCTTTTAATTGCCTTTATTATTTTCCCACCTTATTAGTGCAGTTTTACTAAGAATAGTGTCTCTCCTTCCAGCTGCAGGGGCATGAGGAGACATGTTAACATTTTTTCTAAGATGCTTTTTTGCTAGTAGTTATTAAGAAGTTCTGCATTTTCCATTTTATTATTGTGCACTTTAAGACAAAGAAGCCCCAAAAAATTAAACTGTAGCAAAATAGAGAAACAACAAAGCCGAATTATCTTTAATGATAATGCAATAAAGGCAAGTGATGCTCTTCCTCACAAAGGTGGCTTTTCATGACAAGGCTAAACCAAAAGGGAAAAGAAACAAAAAGGGTTGCACTGAAATGTATGACACTGGGGTGCCTGTGTGGCTCAGTCGGTTAAACATGGGACTCCTGATTTCACCTCAGGTCATGATCTCATGGTTTGTGAGTTCGAGCCCCAAATGGGTCTCTGCACTGACAGTGCAGAGCCTGCTTGGGATTCTCTCTTTCCCTCTCTCTATGCTCCACCCACCTCTCAAAATAAATAAATTAACTTTAAAAAAATCTTTAAAATGTATGTATATTATACTTAAGTGCTTATGTAAAATTAAATATATCAGGTATATGTAAATTAAATGAAAATGGGGGGAAAAAGTCGAATTCACTTTTACTAAGGCACAGTTTGGGACCCTCAGCTTCCGAAACTTATTTTAACCATCTCAGGTTATTTTCCATGTAATAAATGTGTTCTATTTAATGGTTTTATAAGCATGTTGGAAATGGTTTTGGAACCCAAACCTGTTAACACTGCTAGCTTCTCCTAAGATGTATGTACTTGCGAACTTTGGATGTTTTATTCCCATCTAGAAAAGGTCCAGAAAACCGTGAGGCACGAAGCAGGTGCTCAGTAATTATATGGTTTACTGGATGGGTGAGTAAAGTGATGCTGCCTATTGGGAGTCATCCTGTCTGGGAAAGGTCATCTGCAGCCAGGGTCCAACTCTCAGACCCCCCCCTGGCGCACGTGTTCTTGGTTAACCGGAAAGGGAAGGAGTCACGCGCCCGCACGGGTGCTGCGCTCAGAGGACACTAATCGCACACTACCCTCTGGGAGGAGCTGTGCCTACCAGGCGAGTCTGAGGCTCCTGTGGGGCGTGGGCGCGTGGGCGCAGTGCCCCCTCCGCCAGCCAATGGGAAAAGGGGTTCACTGGCCCAGTGGAGAAGTGTCCGCGCCTGGCGCAGCCCTCCACGTGTTTGCTCCAGCGCGCAGCTGCGTAGGGACCTCGCGCATAAAAAGTCCGAGTGAGCTCCCATTTCACATCAAGCAGCAGGTACCTGTTGAGGCGTTTTTTTCACTTTTCGCCTTCCCTCTTTGGCTCGTGGCTTTCAGCACGGGGATTTAACTCGCTCTTGACCCCCTCTGTGACCCAAGGTATGGAATGACCCTCCTCTTCCCCGGCGGTGTATTGCCCGTTCTAAACTAGCATGTTAGGTCCTGTGAGGGCCTTTTCAGCGCCCATATTCTTAGGGAAGACAGGGAAGGGAATGGAGACCCCGACCCGTGGTCCAGGAGGAGGAACCATCAGACCCCTCGGGTAGAGAACGCGGTGGGCCTATGGACGCGGGCCGGACCGCCGA